TTAACCTCATAACTTCTGTTTCTTGATCTTCCACCACTGTAAGCTCTCACAGAAGGCGGCAATGATAATAGAGGGTGTTTCAGAACGAATGTTACAATTTTCTAGAGCATGTAGAGGATCGAAAATGACCAATTTTTGTCAATGAACATATAATAGAAAATTTTATACATTTCTTTGGTACATCTGTTTTCCAATAAAATAATTATATGAACCAATACAATAGCATTTTCGATAGCTTCGCCATCATCAATTTTCTGCTATATCGAAGCCACAAACACGACTACTTCTGGTGATGATGGCTAAGCGATTGAAAGTTGCTATTGTAATGAACAATATTGTTGGCAATGACGACTCATAAAAGTATTTCATTGTAAATGACAACGAAAACTCACCACAATACCAGCATCTCTTTTCCCCCTGATTTTTTTGCAGCTGCTTACGTATATACCTACCACACACTTTCATTTTGATACATTTTCATTGAAAATATGATGTTGTTTTTAATTATTTTATCGCATTTTAAATGTGCATCAGTGCAGTCAGGCTGACGTTTCAAAAGTTCCATGCTTTCACTTATACAGACATTCTGTAACTATCAGTGCTCGAAGGCTGTTTCCACAGTTTCTATTATCTTCTATATCATTGCGATTTCGTAAGCGTGTTGTTATGTGTTTTTAAAGTTAAGTGTTATTTTCTCTCTTGGGGTAAGTGGTGGGAATTCCTGGTGTGTCAAAGAAATATCAACTAGTTCGACTCAAATAACAAAACCGAAAGGTGTTTTAAATAGCTTACGAACAAAGGAAATAAATTAAATCATACCGTTGTCATTAGCAATGTATGTACTGCGAAAAATACTTTAGTAATGATAATCTTAACTCCAATTAATTGATCCAGTCAAGATCCCCTCCCTCCCTGCAGAGATCATAGCTGAGAAAATGACACATGAAAACGCATGAAAAGGACGAAAAAACATCTTCTATATATACGCAATAATGAGCATAATTCACAATATGGGTCAGGATATTTTTACGTAAAATAATATAAAGAATGTGCTGGGTAATTCTTAGTAAAAACTTAAAAACTTCTTAGTAAAAACGTTTTCTTCAAAACACAGTTTTGCATTACAAATGCTCACGTGTAGCTGTAAATATACATTTGTGAAATTAGCGTTATTTGTTTCGATTTATAAATAAATTTGTCATAAAGTTTTCCAAAAAAATGGTTTCATATAATATATATCAGTTTCCTGTCAAGCCATTCTTTTCGATGTAGATCAGCACAACAATAGTACATATTATTATTAACTTGATTGGCCACATTGGACCACTTGAGTCGTTCCACTTCACTTTTTACTGTTCATGGTCGACTGTCGAAGGTGTGTCACCTTGAGGTGAGGATAAATCCTCGAGTTACAATTCTGAATGTTATTCAGAAAGGTGATAATGAGAGATGGAGGATGATGGATGATAGAGGGTGAAAGGTCGAAACACAATACAACCATGCCCGAGGCGGGACTCGAACCCGCGATCCTTCGGTTCGAGATCGCTACGCCACTACTGCCTTAGCGATCTCAGCCACCGGATCGGCAATAGTACATATAATGTACAGTAAAAATTTCAAATCAGTTTCTTCAATAGTTTTTGAGATACAAGTAGGTCGCTTTGATTGATTAATGTTTTCGTGATCGTCAACTTCTGTGGTCTGTTAGTGTAGTGAATGATTTCGCGGAAGATGTCGACCGCTGATGGATGATGAAATCCGGTGGCGGGATAGGCCGACAGTATATTGAGCGGGATAGGCCGACAGTATCTGAGTTGTGCGAGGCGTCCCAAATTGATTACGATTGTGAGAATGTAAATTTTATATTAATTGAAATCATGGTGTAGAAACTAGGCCTGTGGTATTGTGATTGAGATATACACTATTCAACGCTTACTTTTTCTGATGGTGACTGTTTAAATGATCAGAAACTATTAACTGAACGTAAACACTGCGTAGGCTACCACCTTGCGTACTACTAGGGGGATTGCAACAACCTACCAGGGGGGGTCTCCTCAATTAAGCCTGGGTGGGGCCACTCTGCCAGCTCAGCGACACTGTTTGTCCGCGCTAGCACCGGAGTCTAATTAAGCACCACTTACGCCGGGGGCAAATCCCTCCTCAATTTCCCGTGAGTATTGGGCATTGCCACGACGAAGCCAAGAGCCCAAAACCAATATCCGTGAGACTCGGGGTTTCCACCCGTCTTCTCGCTGCATCCACCTTGACGCCATTGACCGGGAGAGATGGCTCAGGGTATCAACTGATGTCACTGCTGTGCCTCTGACCGGTAGGCTATAGGTTCGAGTCCCGATGGCGGCAGGTTTTTCGACGCTAGCTTGTCAGCTAAATTGTCCCGGTGGTAGGAGATACGTGGTTGAGGAAAACTCGCAATTCGACGTGTAGATCGGCGTCGGATCTCACCATCACCGGAAAGATCACCGCCATCTCCAGCACCCACTACACTTACGCGACATCCTCTACACTTACGGGATATCAACTTTACGACTGGTACATTCACTACACTTAGGGAACACACTACACGTAAGGGACATGCTGCTGCTCTTTTGGGGTTTCCACTACGCTATCGTGGCATCCACTCCACTTATGGGACATCCACTACGCTCATGGGACATTCATTACGCTTGTAGCATATTCACTCCGCTTATGGCATATCCACTACACTTTCAGGACATCCACAACACTTACCAGGTATTCTCTACACTTTTGACACATCCACTACACATTAGGGCATTTAATACACTTTCGAGGCATCAACTACACTTTAGAGTCATTCATGACACTTTTGGGTCACCATTGCACTTTCGGGACATCAACTACATTTTGTGGACATCAACTACACTTTCGGGACACCGACTACTCTTTCGGGACACCGACTACACTTTCGGGACACCAACTACACTACCATGCATCCACTACACTACCATGCATCCACTACACTACCATGCATCCACTACACTACC